CTAATGGCTGAGAGGCCAGCATGGGACTGATCCAGACCTCCTGAATGTGGGTGTCAGTGAGGAGGCCTAGGTAATCTATGGGGTCTTGGGTAGTATTTATCCCCAGCATACAAACAGACTTTGACTGTCCATCCCACAAGGAGGGATGCTCTCCCCGCCTGGACTCTTGGGGGAGGGCTTAGGCCCTGCCCTGGAGGAAATGACAGACTCTGGATATCCTCCATGGAGGGTCTCACCCTCCCTGGGGATCGGAGTGGAGATTGGATGGGAGACTGGGGGTACTGGTGGGGAGGGCAGGGGAGGAGGGGGAGAGAGGGAGCTGTGATTGACATGTGAAGCAAGTTTGTGTCTAATAATTTAAATTTAAAAAGGAAGAAAGAAAAAAGAAATTGGAGAAGATATTAGAAATGTATTAATACATTGTAATGCTAATGTTTTGTGTTGCAATACTTAACACATGACTCAGTTGTAATTGATCAGTACGCTATTCAAGTCCTATCTTTACTGGTGCCACATCTCCTTCCAGACTTCATTCTACCCCCCTTCAATTCAGATGTTTGCATCATCTGCTTGGGTCTCTACTGACCCAGCATTCTATGTTCATGTTTCAGATAGTTACGTCTTCTCCATGGGTAAATCCTGGTGCAAGCATACAAGAAGGCTGATGCCTCAGTTTGCCAAACAGATGGGCAGGGGACGTTTCCCTCCTCTGCTTTTTTCCATTCATGCCCTCAAAGGATTGCCCAATGCGCCTCAAGTCAGGGAGGTCGTCGGTACTGGCAGCTGTGGGTTAGTCTGTTTTATCTGATGTTTTATGTCCTATTCCTGTCACTGTCCTTCAGCTTGTTTGATTCTAAGTATTTTTTATTACTGATTAACGTTCTTTTTGTTCAGCTTCACAAACTCCTTTCAGGCTTTCTTGAAAAACAGGTCTTGTGGAGACAACCTCCCTTGATTTTTATTTCTGTACAGGTGTCTTATCTGTCTTCCATTCACCAAGAACAGGTCTGTGGGGTGAGTATTTTTGATTTACATGTTTCTCCCTTTGGAAACATTAAGTATCTCACCCTGTCCGCAAGAATGCCTCTGGGAAGTCTCCTACCACTCTCACTGGAATTTCCTTCTGTGTTGACTGATTCCTCTGTTCTCCCACTGCCTTGGGCTCCTCTCTGTCTTTGATCTTTGGAATTTTGATCAGGATACTTCATGGAATAAGATTAACCCTGGTAGCGCCGGGCGTGGTTGCACTCACCTTTAATCCCAGCATTCGGGAGGCAGAGGCAGGAGGATCTCTGTGAGTTCGAGACCAGCCTGGTCTACAAGAGCAAGTTCCAGACAGCCTCCAAAGCCACAGAGAAACCCTGTCTCGAAAAACCAAAAAGATTAACCCTGGTAGAAGAAATTTGATCTCCTGAATCTGGACACTCTGATCTTTCCTTAGATTTGCAAAGTCTCCTGGTATTGTTTCCTCAAAGGATTTAAAACACAAATGTCTTTCTCTGCTCTCCCTTGAATACCACTGACACAAACATTTCCTTTTCATGTTGTCTGCAGAAGCATTCCTCTGCTTTTCTGCTTTTCCTTCCACAGAGACTGTATTTTCAAGCAGCCTGTCTGTGAGTCAAAAGATTCTTTGGTTCAATCAGTTCTAATGACGCTCACATGCACATGCATCATTTCTTAGGTTTTCTAACTTTGGTAATTCTGTATGGATTTTTAATCATTACTTTAATCTCTTTGCTAAATTTCTCCAATGAATTTCAGTATTATTTCCCTTCACTCTCTTGAAGTTCATTTCGATTCTTCTAAATTGAAAATTATTTTCAATTGTTGTGAAGTTAGTAGGTCTATATATTTGCATTCAGTCTCAGACATTGTATTTTCTCCAGTAGGCAATGCCATGTTTTCCTGATTGTTATTCATCTTTACCTTGCATCCATGCCTTGAATTGATGAAGTATGTGTTCCAATATTTATTCTGCTATTCTGGCAGTATCTGAGATTGCCTTTTGATAGGAAGTTTATTCAACAGTTCACTGCAAGCTATGAGCAATAATCCCTATGTTTGTGATTATTACAGCTATTGTGGTCCTGGGGACTGAAATGGATAGCACATCCTCTGATCTTTGAACTTGGCTTAGCAACATATTGGAATTCTGTGGCTCTCAAGACTGACAGTGCTGCTGTCATCCAGCTGTGATAGAAGCTAGTACTCTGGAAGGGAGTACATGTTTCTATCTATCATTGATGTAGAGGCTAACACCATGTGTATCAGTCAGGACAGAGATGTATAAGGGTGTGCCTGGTGCTGGCTTTTAATCTTGTGCATCCAGTACTCGAGTCTGAGATAGACTTCCTCATCCCCAGTTATTGTCTCGGTATGTTGTGCTAATGAGAGTTGGAGAACAGTATAAATGCAAAACTGTCCTTCCCACCTCCATGATGGATTATCACTTAGTGTCACAGGTTTCATTTTGTCTTCCCCATGCAAGTTTGTTATTGTACTTTCTCATTACCAAATCTTGCCCCATACTCACTGGTTCTGTCTCTTCCCACATCTGCTTTTACGTCTTGTGTATTTTTTAAACCTAAATTCCACATGACCTGTCTTGAAGTTTGCAATTTTTCTTCTGTTTGATAAATTCTCCCGCCAATGCTCTCTGTCAAGAGAAAAAAACAGTCTTTTTGAGTCTGGCTTGAGTTCTGCAGGTCCATTCATTACATCCCTGACAGCAGCAGCAGGGACAGAGACACAGCTCCACACTGTTACCTCCAACAGCTGATGAGTTCTGTTAGTCTTTGGCAGACCTTGACTGGGGTGAAGTTGAACCCTTGGCTTGACACAGAACAGAGTTTCAGGAAGAGCCAGTATGAAGCAGAATCTGAGTTTATTAAAAGACATTTTTCAAAGGGCTGAAGAGCCGTGTCCGTGGTTAAGAGCACTGGCTGCTCTTGCAGAGGACCCAGGTTTAGTTCCCAGCACCAACATGGTGGCTCACCCCCATCTGTAACTCCAGTTCCAGGGGGTTCAATGCCTCTTTCATTCTCCTTGAACACTACATGTATATGATGCACATACAACATACACCAGGCTCAAGCACATAGTAAAATAATAAAATAAAATAAAAATGTCAAGGATATTTTTAGCATAGTTAGCTAAGGGTTAAGAGAAAGAACATCACTCAGAAAGAAAGACATGCCCAAAAGTATGGAAGGGGATCCTCAGGAATCTTTACAGTAGCCATATGCACAACTTTGGTAGGGTTTGAAGTCACAGCTTTCAATGGGGCTCCATGAAATCAGGGTTTTTGCTGAGTGTAACTGACAGGGTTACAACACTGGGCAAAGACAGTGGGTGTTAAGATACCTTCCTTGTGAACAAACTTAACAGTCTTATGAGGATCTCAGAAAAGATTTAGGAGTAAAGCCACATAGACCACACGCGCCTGGGCCTTACACATGGCTCCTTGCTGTTTTAACATAAAATATGTGTATGAGAGGATCATTGCCTCTGGGTTGTCAGCATTCTCATGATGAGGGAAAGGCTCCCAAATCCCTAATCCTAAAGCATTGCTTTGTGTTTGGGGCTGTGGTAGAAACCATCAAATTAATTCATTGAGTTATTAACCTTTGTCATACACATATTTTTCACATATTCAATAGTTCATAGGGAAATAATCATGATTTCCTAACTTCCCAAGAAATATCCCATTGGCTTAGTATAAATATCTCAACCAACATGTTCCTGGTTAGGAGGAGGGGACTCTATTTGTTCATGACCTGTGATCATTTTTAAGTATGACAAAATTCATTAGATAAGTTTTTATTTTTATATCAATTTAAAGTAAGTTTACAAAGTAGCTTCCTTCCATGTAACATCCTTTTCCATATTTGAGCACCCTAAAGTTTCAGGGAATAATAGACTTTTTAAAACTAAGTCTTCTGGGCCAGAGTGGCATTTTAAGATATTGGCAGGCTAAATCAACTAAAAAGAAATTTTCTTTAAAATGAAATCTACAGGTCACCAATGTCATAGCAACCCAAAGATAGAAGACAGCAACACAAATTACAGCTAAAAGATGTATAATCAGGAGATGACTCAGTGGTTAAGAGTTCATACTGCTCTCATGGAGGACCTGAACTTGATTCCAAGCATACAGAAAGAGCAGTTCCTAACCACCTATACAAACCTCACATTTTCATGGGCATGCAGAAAGAATCCAAATGTTGTTTGTCACAGTCCAGAATGACCTCAATTAGATTTCTGTTTTTTTTTTATTTCATCAGCAACTGAAGCTTTTACATATTTATGAAGACATTTTAAAAAAGGAAATTAAGAAACAAAATGATAGTTAATATTGTGTTCCTTGTAAATAGACATTTTTTATAACTCTAATATTGTATTGCTAGGCTGTTCTCCCTAAATTTTGTGATGTCATGGGTGTTTAAATGTTGATTTGTGGAAAGTAAACTTTCAAATGCACCCTTAATGAAGGCTGCTGGGAGAGAGGGTTCTGGTTTCTCTGCATTTCCAGTAAGAAGAAAGTCTTATGTAATAAGTATATATTTATGTATTTTTAACATATGAATGCTCTGTCAGCTTGTACATCAGCATGTTAAATGGCATCAGATCCCATTATAGATGGTTGTGAGCTACCATGTGATTGCTGAGACTTGAACTCAGGACCTCTGGAAGAGCAGCCAGTACTCTTTACGATGGAACCATTGTTCCAGGGGTTGGTCAGTCTTGATCCCCAGTCTAGAAAAAGTATTTTACTCTTACTGACTCCTAGTGTCCTGCATAAAGCAGACCCCATGAAAAGGTCAGTCTTGTGATACCCTGAGAACAGGACAGCCCACCCAGGCCCTAGAACATTGTATCAAGGTGTTAATTCTGCTGTCCTACTCTGTGAACCACAGGTCCTTCTGATGGCAGTCCCCCCATGAAGCTGGCATAAGCATCCTTGGCCTCCATGTCCACCTGCACAGCTTTCTTGGGAGATGAAGCCGCTTAACCTCTCTCTACTCACAGTGACCATCCTTCTTTGCTGTAACATGACTCAGCCTATATTCAGGAAGCAGAAGGGTAAGATACAGTGCTCCTGGGTCTGCTTGGATAGGAAAGCCTTCCTTTGGAGGAGTCTGTGGAACCACTTGGCACTGTTGCCCGAAGTGTGGCTCTCAGTTTATAGGTGCCCAAGACTCACCTTGTGGTATTTTTCTGCAGGTGAAGTCAAACCAGGGTATTGCCCAGAGTTTCATCTTTCCTGCCCTTTTATCCTCATGCCCATATGCAAGCATGATAGAGGCTGCAGAGGAGCCAAAAAGTGTTGCTTCTACTACTGTCAGATGCGCTGTACGGAGCCTTGGGACACTTTGGATTAGGTGAGCAGCTATTCTTGATGCTCCTTCTGGAACCCTTGTGTTGAGTCCCTTGCCTTGTAAGGAGCTGCAAACTATTTGTACCTCTAGACAGCGTGGCAGTCAGGACATCTGAATTAATTAGGATTGTCCAGAGATTGCCCCCTTCCTCAGAAAATGCACTATCATTGCGTGGGTAGGTGTCACCCTTTCCTGCATACTAAGGACATCTGCATAAGATTATTCCAAAGCTCCTCAACTGCCCTGAACGTTTCTTTATGCTCATTTTCGGTTTCCCCTTTTCATATCTTACATCAATGAAGCAGTCCCCACTGCACCTTAAGTTATGAAGGAATTATGAAATTTCAATTTTCTACCTGACTAGCAAGAACCACTCATGCTCAGCTCCTAGTTCCCTGCCAGTATATCTCAGTATTTTTGGAAAGAAAGCACACAGTAAGATTCAGGGCATGGGGAGCAGGTGACCCAGAATCATGTGCCCAGCACCGTTTGCATCTGATCTTATTTCTGTTCTTTTTAGACAAAAGTGAGACGACACCAGGCGTTGGTGGCCCATGCCTTTAATCCCAGCACTCAGGAGGCAGAGGCAGGCAGATCTCTGTGAGTTCGAGACCAGCCTGGACTACAAGAGTTAGTTCCAGGACAGCCAGGGCTACATAGAGAAATCCTGTTTCAAAAAAGCCAACAACAACAAACTGAGAAGACACATGTGGTACAGTCTCAGTCTAGGGTGGCTGGCCCTTAGTTCCTTCTCGGTCCTCCAAGGCCCTTCCAAGAGTTAAGCACTTGTTAATATGAATACAAAACAGAGGAATAAAGAGTTGTGTATTTGTCTATTTTTCATTGCAGTTAAGAATAAAAACTACCTTAGGCTGGGATTTTAGAAACCAGAAAGACCTCCCATCTAGCATTGCAGGATATACTAGAAAGACTGCACACAAAACAGAAAGGAAGTTCCATTGTGAAGACGATAGGAAAAATTTATTTCATGAGAGGAATAATTGGATTGTTAGATACTTTCCACTGATGTTCTATCCAATGGACTTTGTTCTCAGAAGAATTATATAAAGCAGACTGTACTGTAGGTCACAAAGCAAATCTTATTAGTTTAATTTAAATTAAAAATAATCTATTTTACAGAGGGAGTTCCGCCCCCTCCTGTCCTCCCATTCCCCCCACCAACCCTCCATCCATACCCTATCCATTCCCCAGGGAGAGTGAGGCCTCCGATGAGGGAATCATCAAAGTCTGTCAATCATTTGGGGCAGAACTTAGGCCCTCCTCCCCCTCCCCTGTGAATCTAGGCTGAGAGAGTACCCCTCCATAGGGAATGAGCTCCAAAACCCATTTGTGCACTAGGGATAAATACTGGTTCCACTGCCAGAGGCTTCAAAGACTGCCCAGATTCCCCCAACTGACACCCACATTCAGGCCTAATTTGGTCTTATGCTGGTTCTCCAGCTGTCAAACTGGGGTCTGTGGATTCCCACTTACTCAGATCAGCTGTCTCTATGGGTTTCCCCAACATGATCTTGACCCCTTTGCTCATCACTCCTCGTTCTCTACAACTGGATTCCAGGAGCTCTGCTCAATGCTTAGCTGTGACTCTGCTTCTGCTTCCATCAGCTCCTGGATGAAGAAGGCTCTAGGATGGCATTTAAGGTAGTCATCAATCTCATTATAGTGGAAGGGCATTTAAGGTAGCCTCTCCACTATTCTCAGATTCTTAGTTGGGGTCATCCTTGTGGATCTCTGAACATTCCCCCAGTGCCAGATTTCTCTTTAAATCTGTAATGGCTCCCTCTATTAAGGAATCTCTTTTCTTGCTCTCCTTCTCTGTTCTTCCCCCAACTCAACCTTCCTGATTGTTCTCCTCCCCCTCCCCTTCTTCCCTCCTCTTTCTCCTACCTCCCCCCCCCATGCTCCCAATTTGCTCAGGAGATCTTGTCACAAAGCTAACCTTAACAAACAAAACAGTAATTAAAATAATTTATTATATATTATCAGATAACAGTACAGTGAAACTGGAAGCCAAGAAAAAGAGAAACAATACTGCATGATAAATTCTCGAATGAAGAGATAGGGAGAAAAGAGTTCATAGAACAAAATGAAAATGGGAACACAACTTTGCCTTTACAAAACAGCTAAAGAAATTCCAAAGGAAAAGTTTATACAGTAAGTCAATGTGAAGATTGAGTAAGAAACTTAAAACATCCAACAGGCAAATTAAAATGAAAGCACTAATTAGGAAACTCCTAGGAATACAGCTAAGGCAGTTCTAACAATACTTACACTTACCAATGTTTGCCTTGTAAAAATTATCAGAGAAATCTCAAATAAATAACTTAGTCATGAATTTCAAGGTCTTAGACAAACAATGACAAACGAAACTCAAAGAAGCAGGTGATAAGAAATAATAAAGAGGAGCTTCCCTTCCCGGCAGGAGCCACACACCCCAGATTCCAGGTCTTCTCTTCCACCAACGTGACCAGGGTCCAGGTAAACTGGGCCCTGTATCTGGGCCTGCCTTCCAGTGCCTAGGGACTGCCAGAGAGCCTCCACACCCAGAAGGAGCATATGCACCCCAGCTTCCCAGTCTTCTTCTCCACCCACTGGATCAGTGCATGTGTACTGCCAGTGAGCCTTCCCTCCCAGGGCCAGCCTACACACCCCAGTTTCCCTGTCTTCTCCAACCACATGACCAGGCAATTCGGGGTCTGTTTCTGGGCCCATACTCCAGTGCCTGGAGACTGCCACTGAGTCTCCTCTCTAGGTGGGAGCCTACACACCCTAGATTCCTGGTCTTCTTCTCCACCCACAGGACCAGGACTAGGACCAGGAAGAGGAGAACTACCAGAGTACTGGACTTGCTTGCACCCACTGAAAGGGAACTCTGGTCCCCTAACAACCAGACCAGTAAGGGGCTCTTTCTGCATCCATTAGAAGGAGGGATGGGAAGGAGGCAATAGAAAAACAGACCCAGCAACAGAAAAACAAATATGACACTGCCAGATTCTAGAGACTCCACACCAGCAAGACTCCAACATTCTAATGCAAATGAAGCAGAAGAGAATGATGTTAAAAACGACTTCATGAAAATGATAGAGGCCCTAAAAGAAGATATAGCAAAATCCCTCAAAGAAAAAACAAACCAAAAAAAAATCAAGAAATGGAGGAAAAGCAAAGCAAAAAAATGCAAGAAATGGAAGGAAAAACAAACCAAAAAATTCAAAAAATGCAACAAATGGATGAAAGAACAAGGCAAAAATTGCAAGGAACAATTTAAACACTGCAAGGATTGAAAACTGAAATAGATACAATTTAAAAAGCACAGTCTGAAGGAATGATGGAAATAGAAATGCTGGGCAAACAGTCAGGTACTACAGATGCAAGTGTAACCAACAGAATACAAGAGATGGATGAGAGAATCTCAGGTGTTGAAGATACACTAGGAGAAATTGATTCATCAACCAAAGAAAATCTTAAGTCCAACAAATCCTTAACACAAAACATCCAGGAAATATGGGACACTATGAAAAGACAAACATAAGAATAATAGGTATACAAGAAGGTGAAGAAAACCACCTCAAAGGGGCAGAAAACATATTCAACAAAATCATAGAAGAAAACTTTCCCAACCTAAAAATGACTTGCCAATGAAGGTACAAGAAGTTTACAGAACATCAAATAGAATGGACCATAAAAAAGGCCCTCACCACATAATAATCAAGACCCAAAATATACGGAATAAATAAAGAATATTAAGAGCAGCTAAGGAAAAAGTTCAAGTAACATATAAAGGCAAACCTATCAGAATTACACCTGACTTCTCCATGGAAACTCAGAAAGTCAGAAGGTCTTGGATAGATATTCTACCAACACTAAGAGACCATGGATGCCAGCCCACACTGCTATACCCAGCAAAGCTTTCAATCACTATAGATGGAGAAAACAAGATATTCCATGACAAAACTAGATTCAAACCATACATATCCACTAACCCAGCCCTACAAAAAGTTCTGGAAGGAAAACTCCAACCCAAGGAAGTTAGCTAACTATAACCAGAAAAAACATAGGCATTAGAGAATCCCTCTATACCAACAGCCAAAGAAAAAGAGGTGGAATTCCACACATAATTCCACCAACAACAACCATTCTAAATCAAAGAAAAATAGGATTCAGTGGTCATTAATATCCCTCAATATTAAAGGTCTTAATTTGCCCATAAAAAGACACAGGCTAACAGAATGGATTCAAAGACAGAACCCATCCTTCTTCTGCATACAAGAAACACACCTCACCTTCAAAGACAGACATTACCTCAGAGTTAAGGGTTGGGAAGAGATTTTCCAGTCAAACGGACCCAAGTAAAAGTAGGGGTAGCAATCCTAATATCTAATAAATTAGATTTGAAAATAAAAAAATCAAAAGAGATGAAGGGGGTCATTTCAAACTCATCACAGGAGAAATCCACCAAATGAAGTTTCAATTTTGCACACCTATGCCCCAAATACAAAGGCATCCACATTCGTAAAAGAAACATTACTAAAACTCAATTCACATATAGAGCCCCACACACTTATAGTGGGAAACTTCAACACCCCACTCTCACCTCTAGACAGAACTACCAGACAGAAACTTAAGAAGCAAAGGAACTAATAGAAGTTATGACCCAATTGGGATTAACAGACATCTATAGAACATTCCACCAAAATAAAAAAGAATATACCTTCTTCTCAGCACCACATGGAACCTTCTCAAAAATCGACCACATGCTTGGCAACATATCAAATCTCAACAGGTACAAAAAAATTGTAATAACTCCATGCATCCTATCAGACCACCATGAGTTAAAATTAGAATTCAACAACAACACAAATTGCAGAAACCCTACAAACTCATGGAAATTGAATAATGCACAATTGCACCATCCCTGGGTCAAAGAAGAAATGAAAAAAGAAATTAAAGACTTCCTAGAATTCAATGAGAATGAAGACACAACA